TTTATAAATTAAAATATGAACTAATATTTTTGTACCTGAAAAGTAGCTTTCCAAACTTTAAAAATTGACTTAAATGTGAATTAGTTTATATATCTTTATCCTATTTCCTTTAATCAGGATTAAATGCATGAGCAATAGTAGTGAAAAGTGATCAGGAAATAAACTCTAGTCTGCACTTAGAAAAGACAAGGAAAAGTCTTTAATAAAGACAACTAACAATTCAATGAAATGACATTTTTTATGCCTTAAATGATTTTAATTAGTGACTAGACAGATATGTAAGCATAGACGTAGACATACCATAAAGAAAAGGCACATAAATTCATATTTAAAAACAAATTGTGGAATCTGTCTAACAGAATCGTCAGGGTTACAAGATACTCCCTTAAAAATGAATAATAACATTCCATGAAGTTTTCTTAAATTCCAGAAATACAGAAACTAAACATTCCATAAGTACATTACATAAAAAAAAAAGGGTAGGGTAAAATTTACATATTTCAAAGGACAAGCAAAAAATGCATTATGAAATAAAGAACACATCCGCAAAGCAATAGTTTGTACTGCAAGCACCATAGAATTGAAAGAGTAACTTACAATTACAGATCTCTGTTAGTCACTGCTTGGTAATGGTATAATTTGCTGTGGAATGGCCTTTCGGAAGTACAGGGATATTTCAGTGAGCTTCTTCACTTTTTCTCTTGTCAAAGGAGGGCTTAATAGTTCATCTAAAATTTTGTTTTTCTCTTCTGGTAAATTTAGTTTTTTTCTCAAATTATCTAGGTTCAGTCCTTGCATGAAGTTTTGTAATCGGGGATTGAAGTTTTCAGTCAGCATACTGGGCAAGTGAATATCATAGTAAATATATATCTGAAAAGTAGGACAACTATTAATAGGTATTTTTTTTTCATTTGCAAAGATTGAAGATTTAAACTTACAGAAACATCAATCACACAATTATATTACATGCAATTACAAATGTGCAATACCTTGTTGTTGAAAGTGGCATACACCAGAACAGGAATGGGTGGTTTTGAACAGTTTGGCTCCATGGTAAATTTGCCTGAACAAAATCCAGACACAGTCTCTTCTAATTGAAAACGGACACTGTGCTTCTCTAGATCCAGAATGTATGTCTGCCCGTCCCAAGAACACACAACAATCTCATCGTGTCCATCTCCAGTAATATCTAGCTTTGTCACAGCGAACAGTTGATGATCAACTTGGTAAGACCTGATAGATTGAATAAGCATTCATTAGGAATATAGATCCGAAAAACTGAAATGGGAAGATGACAGAAAAATTACAAACCATAGAATTTCATCATTATGTACAAGCATGAGAGTTCCATCCAGTGTTGCCACTGCAAAAGGAGACCCTTTTTCATTGTTGTTCCCAGTTTCAATATCACCTAAAATTTCCGTAGACACATTAGGGTTTCGCATACTATTTATGCATAGAGGATGATAAACAACAGAAGTTTCACCAAATTGGTTTGATCTAAAAATAAAACATGAATATGAAAGTAAACAACCCACTCTCTTTCTTCCTAACAAATTTTGAACCCTTTATTATTGACTTGCCTGCCGCTACCATCAGAATCAGTAATATCAGCAGTCTTTTCGGATTCTGGATAGCAACGTATCTTCATAAAGGTCCCTCCTGGCTGCGCAACGAGAAGGCTAGGCTTGTCTCCAGCAGAATGATTGAGTGTTACAGCCCCAAGTTGGTGCGCAAATTCCCACTTATTAAGACAAACTAAAGCACCCCGTCCAGCAAGAGATGCAACATTTGTTGTTTTCCCAAGAGATTGTACACTCTCTTTTCCAATTGCTTCACCAAGCCAGCACCAACGATATGAGCGAACAACTCGGTCTGTAAGGCCAAGCACTAATTCTTGCTGACCATCAGCATCAATATCACCAAGTAACAGTACCTGAAAAAAATGAAGAAATAATAAAACGGCATGAAAGCAAAACAGAAACAATTATTGTTTTAACAGTGTCCATGCAACGCTGATAAACTTTCAGTTTACCTTAGTATTAGCAGGAATTCTCTGAACATGGACACACTCTAGTCTGGCACAACCCGGAGGGCAAAGGTATATGTGACACCAGCCGTCACCACATACTATCACAACAGCATTCAGTCCGCAGTTAAGGATGTCACCCACTCCCACTGCTGTTATCATTCCCAAGCCATTCAAAATTTGCCATTGTGTGTCACCCTAAAGTAAAGTAAAAAGTTGATCAAATGACTTACTTCTTTTAAAAAAAATATTGTACGAAAAACAATATAAAAACCCCACCTTAAACACTGCTAAATCACCACTAGCGTTTCCAGCCACAAGGGCCATCTCTCCAGAGTTATCTACATCACCTAGAGTAAGAGAGCTCCTAAACACGTTGCCACCAAACTCAAACTCGAGGCGGTTCACAAAGCAAACAGCCCGCATGGTGAAGGCTTTAGCTGTGAATGCTAGTGACTTTTCTGACGTTCCTCCGCACCTTTACACTCAAAGGGATTGTCATCAAATATCTTCTTCCAGCGCCACGGGGGCCATATAATGTAATACGCCTTGGATTGGAGGAGGGACCTTGGAATCGGGCCAAACTGCTGTGAATCTATAGAGAGGCCCTTGTTGTCCCCTTCCACCCAGTAGTGCCCCCCCGGCACGGTGACCAGTGATGTCCTGGGCCCGTCCTGCTTCACTACAGTGTCCCCCTCCAGGCCAATGACCCTCTTGATGAAGTGGCCAGAGGGATCCTTGGGCGGTATGAACGTCACCACGTCGCCCCTGCACACTTCGCAGCGCTCCACATCCTTGACGTACACCCAGTCGTCGCACTTGTTGGGGTACGGGTTGAGGCAGGGGTGCATAGATCTGCCTTTCACTTTGAACACTCTAACCCTGAAGTAGTTGTCGACTTGGAACGCGAGCGGATAAATCAGAACCGCCGAGGTGACGGCCGTTCCAAAAATGTGGCCGAAATAGCCAAGCCATTGCCATTGCATGAATCAACGACAGGCTTCTCCCTCCCCGCGCGGAAGAGGCTCGGGTGGGAAGAACTCGGCACAAGGACAAAGGTACACAATCGACGAGACGAGCTGACGACACTTCGGGTTGTTATCAAGGTTAGGGTTCCCGCAAACAACAACAAGAGGCGGCTTTATTCGCAGGCAACGGACCCGCCGCCAGTCCGGCCAACCGTACAGTTCGTTGTGTGAATAGCGGACGAAAGTTTTCAAAAACAGAAACGCGGACCGGCCTTCATAACCCCGCTCGTAACGTGCGCTAGACGGGCGTATTCTCGTGTGGCAATGTTCGTGAGAAGATACGTGAACGAGGATTGATTGTGATCCTTTCGTGCCTCAAAACTCAAAGCCAAAATGTTTGACGTGTTTGGCTCCGTGAGGGCAGTGAGGGATTTGCTCGAGCCATGCTCGAGCTTGTTCAACACGACCGACAAAGTAATCATTTTGATCGCGTTCTCACGTTCTTGCACTGCACAAGACAATGCACCAGAGACCCAATCGCGACAGTTCCAACTCAACGCCAATGTGATGGATACTTAACTGTTGGATCTGCATCGTCACAACCTCTCGAACCGGGGCAACCGCCCCAACACACCTGTGGATGGACGCGGTCATTCCGCGATTCCGCGGATGCGGTAAGTGTAACCATAACCATAGCCTACGCCTTCCTTCGTCGCTCGCTGGTCCCGTTCCACGGCTCTATCGGTCAAGCAAAGCAACCGATCTTATGAACGAATTTTACGCACATGGATGCGTTAAATACGCGGGGGGGGGGGGGACTACCAACTACCCCCTTACCGGCAACACGTGCTTGCAGCGCCCACGCACAACCGTACGTCCCTGTTTGTAATGCCGGCGGCCAGAGTCAGCTTAATCCGACCAGGGTAATATGATGAAATCCGAAGCCTTCAGGGTGAAAGTAGAAAGCAAGGACCTGTTCTGCACATAAATCCCTGACAAGCCGTAAGGGCCTGGACGCATCTAAACTAACACAATGGGGCCCGGGCCCGGGGTCCCCCCCCCCCCCCCAAACCTAAGGGATAGCAGGTTGTGTACTGATTGCCTACTCTCCAGGCGCCCTCAGCCACAACTTGCCCCTGCGTTCCCCACGCAGTGCGCACGGGTCGGGGGCCACAGTTGTACCGGGTGTCCGTAAGGGACCATCCAGAAAGTACATCCGATTTTTTCTAAGATTCGTTCAGCGAAAAAGGAAAATGAGCGCCTGCGAGGCTCAAGGTAGGCCAGCCCGCAGATCACACATGCACTAAGTTGCCTACCCACCAGGCGCTCCGAGAGCTAGCACAGGATGAACTTGGCAGTTTTGAAACAGCGAATCACGGACGTACTTTGTGGACGATCCCTAAGAATACGCGGCAGCTCGATGGGTTGCCTACGCACACGCACTAGCGTGCAGGCGCGGAGGGCGAGGGGGGAGCGGTGGAGGTGCGCACCATCCAGCGAATTCCGAACAGACTATAGAGGCGCCGTTTAGGACCAAACTATTTTTCAAAGAATGTGAAAAAGAGGGAGTACCCACCCCGCTTTTACACGGGGCCCCGCGTGCTTAACTTCGGAGTTCGGATGGGATCCGGTGTGTCCACGCCATCAGCCAGACTGTTAGATCCGACCAACTGTTGACCAGAGTTGTCGCCTACCCGCTTAAACAGGAACGACGGGTACCCAAGGGAGTGCTTTCCTCATCCCAGCGCAGTAGTTAGCGAACTGTGGTCTCTGTTCCGAACAGCCGCTCCCAACCGCAATGGTCAGAATATACTCCCGGGGTTTGTGAGACGGTTGAAGCTTACGTTGGTTAATCGTACTGACCCACCATAGGTCATGGAGCCCTTTTCAGCCAGTTTCTAGGTCTTATTATCCACCCCGCTACCATAGCAAGGTGGCAGGCACCAGGGCGCGAACCCCAGCCCAGAGCCGACACTTTAGCCACCTATGACGCGACGCAGTGCCACCAACAACGGTAACCGCTCCGCCATCGGAACTCCACGAGGGGGGCGTGGTGAAATGACGGGTTTGAAGTCCATTTGAAATTTGGTGGCCTGAGAAAAATTTCAGACACACGGAAAGTCGAACCACCGACCTCCCGCGCTCTGAGCGGGCGCGCTACCGACTGAGCCATAGAGGCGAAACACAGACCAGCGCTCCAGGGAACGAATCATTCTACGCTGTCGCTGACTGGCGTCGCTCCTTGTCTCCCTTAATACAAGACCGACTTTGAACGCGTAGTGGAGAAGACGGGTGGGCGGCCGAGCGCGCTAAATCGTGCTCGTGTCAAACTGTTCGCCCAAGATTCGACTCCCGGCTAGGGCAGATATATATTCTATCTCCTGGAGTCGAACCCCGGGCGCATGATCTCAGACGATGATACTTTAGTGCGCTCGGCTGTTCGTTCGTGTTCTCCTCTATGCGTCCAAACCTCGGTCCTCCATTGCGGGGGACGCAAAGCGGCAAAAATAAAATAAAAATGCGCTGGCCGGGAGTCGAACCCCAGACAGTTCCAGACTGGTGACAATTGAGCGAGCAATTGATCAACCTCAGCTGCCACAGAAGTGAAGGAGATAAAATATATATTTGCCCTAGCCGGGAGTCGAATCTTGGGCGAACAGTTTGACACGAGCACGATTTAGCGCGCTCCGCCGCCCGCCCGTCTTCTCCACTGCGCGTTCAAAGTCGGTCCTGTATTACGGGAGACGAGGAGCGACGCCAGTCAGCGACAGCGTAGAATGATTCGTTCCATGGAGCGCTTGTCCGTATCTCGCCTCTATGGCTCAGAGGCTCAGTCGAGATCCCGAGTTTGTATTCGGAACTCGAAACTGGCCCCACCCATGCTCGCACAAATTCAACCGATGAATCGCGCTCTTCGTGTGTGGTCTGGTGGCTCAGAAAGTTGCGTGCTGGATCGCTGCTCGTTTCGGCTCTTCGTGTCGTATAGGTTCGACTTTTGACTTTTGGGGGTATTTTTTATTTTTTTAATTTGTTACCCCAGGGAATAGGAACTATCAGGGAAAGTTTGGCCTATGAATATAAACAGCCTTGCGAAGCCAGGTCGCTAAGGGATGAATAGTTGCAAAATTAGTGCAATCTGAGTATCTTATCGGCAGATTAAGTGCGACTACTAGTACCCCAATCTCGCGCTAAAGAGCTCCATGAAGCTCGCCCCACCCATGCTCGCACAAATTCAACCGACAGTGCCATGATGTGCATAATTAGTGCCATCTGAATATCTCATCGGCAGATTTAGTGCGACTACCCGAAGTACGGTTCTCTGGTCTTGCCTTCGCGGACTGCGCACAGCTGCTTTGCGAGTTCACCTTCCTATCGCGTCGCAGGCGCCATAACCTCCAGCATCTCTATAGACCTTTTTGACGGTAGGTTGAGGGGGGGAGGAGAGGTGTAGAGGAGGTGAAAACTTTCATTGCGTGCAACATTTTCGCTGAACTCTTATAGCAAATTTTGACTCTAAAGCGCAGAAGAACAAAGTCGTTTGTTGCTGCGCTAAGAAGTCGAAAATTTTTAAACAGTTTACAAGAAAAAGGCGCTGCCTCCGAATTGTTTCTAACCTCTACCCGAGCCTCTACCACTGTCGAAGAGGTCTTATTGGTGGCCACAAATCCGTCTGCCAGAGTCAGGTTAATGTCTACAAGCAGGGACGAAGGGTGCTGACCTCCCCCAACGCCCTGCAGGTGGTCTGTAGGCCGTTCCGCCACGTTGGCCTGCCTGGCGGGCTTGCCTACCCATTAGGTCGCTGGTGGTTTTCTCCCCAACTGAGTGAGTTGTTGGGCCATTTTGGGGAACGCGACGGGCCTTGTTACAATTTTTGCCAATGGTGCTGGTGCTGCAGCTATGAATGGAGAACAGCCTGGAGCGATCAGCTCGTTTGAGCCTGGGGGCAACCACTCTTGAAACATCAGAAACTCTAAAAGCCTGAGTAGCGCATGGTTTAATGTCTTGCTACGATTTAGGGACAGTTTTGCCGAACAGCCAAACGCACGCCGCCACGTCTTGCGCGGAATCAACCAGACGCACGGTGATCCTCCAAGTGCCGTAGAAAAATACAGGAATTTGCTTTAGAGAAAATTCGGCTGAAACATTCTTGACTTCGTAGTATCCCTGAAATAAATTTAAAAACACTGTAATGCACTTGAAAGTGTCTATAACGGTGCTGCACATTTGCAGGTGTTTGACTTAAAATTTGAACCATTGAGAGATTGCGGTTTAACAGGTGCACGGTAAATAATACGATGATTGTTTGGAATTAAGAATTAACCGACATAGCAGTCGACATTCCCGTGTTATTTGCTGCCAGATCGTTGATACTTACTGGAGGGAAGGGACACTTTCGATTCGGGTCGTTGAATGTGGCGACCATCAGCCTGCGCCAGAGGTCCGGGTCGTGGTGGCCTATGATCTGGCAGACGGGCCCCGGCCTCATCACGTACGCGTTCTCCTTCCAGCCGCCACGGGAACTCCACGAGGCCCAGTTCAGATCAATCTGCAGAGGAAAACTCACAATAGGCCCGCCACGACAGCTTGTGGAGGGGTCATGCGTTTGAGTAGTTAAAGCTCGTACTAGGGTTGGGAATTTCCAAAATTTTCCGGAAAATTTACGGAAATTTTCCGAAAATTTCCCGAAAATAACGAAAAAGCTTCCAAAGTCTGGGTAATTTTCCATTTTTTTCCCGGAAATTTTCTGGAAACTTTCAAGGGCTTCCAACCCGAGCTCGCACACGTGAGGTGACGACATACATCATACGACTCGTCCAGAGTTCGGAGAGTCGTGACGTTCCCCCAGTAGTACCACAGATCCCGGTTGTTGCGGTCGTGGTAGCCGCGCCAGAAGATGTCCCTGTACAGGGCTGCAGCTCCGCTAGCGGCGGCGGCGTGGCCCTTGATGGCGGGGCAGCGTTCGGCGTGGTCGGGGACGATTCGGAAGGGGCCCTACAACAACACAAACGGGTGCATTACTTAAGGATGTCCAACATTTTCCGGAAATTTCCGAAAATTTTCCGAAAATTTCCGGAAATATCAGAAAAACTTCGAAAGTCTGGGAAAAAATTCCATTAACCCAGAAATTTTCCGTTTTTTTTCCCGAAATTTTCCTGAAATTCAGCAGAAACTTTCTAGGGCCTTCAACCTTAGCTGTACTACTTACAATGTAGAGCACCGGGACTTCTAGTGTACACCGCTTTTATAAGTGTAACAACAGTCTCACACTTCACTGTTATACACTCACTGCAAAGTTATTGATGTATTGAGTCGCCGCCGCTGTAGTGCCAAACGATGGCGACGACGTCCGATACTCGGCCAGCAGTAGCAGAGGCAGCAGCGCGTCGAGGAGGGTCATGGTGACTGTGAGCTTCACTATTGTTGTGGGCGCACCGACCCTGTCTCATGTCGAGCTTGGCGAGGGCTTTTGTTTTAGCGCCCGCGCTGACTGAAGCACGCGATAATAGTGAGGAAGTCCCCTTTTGTTTCTGACGTTAAGCCGGCCCCGCGTGTCGCATTTTGTTTTATTTCGAGCGCCGCTAAAAGTGACCGCTTGGTTTCCAAGAAAAAGTGGTAATTTTCAAGCAAAAAGTGCTTGGAGATAACCATTTGCTTGGAAACCAAAGCTGTCACTACTAGCGTGTGGTGGAAAGGTATGTGCCCCCCCCCCCCCGGCCCCCCGGCTTCGACACACCCTCCTCCAAAGTAGTTTAAGCGCTCTGCAGGGTTGTCGGACCACAGACACTACTCTGTTGCTATATGTTCATGTGCCAGGCCGGTGTTTTCGCAACCGACCATGTCGTCAGGCCAGCGTCCAATGTCACTATGCGTTCACAAGGACAAAATATTGCTGGTGCAGTGATATCATGTCGTTGGTATACTATGACCCATTTTCTTTGCGTGTCATAACATAATAAAACTCGTTGACATTTTTTGTTAACTGCTAAACGAACTCTAAATTAGGGAATTATAGTTGCCTTCGTACGTTACATCAACAGCCCCACCAAGCGCCCTGTAGCTCGAGAGATCTCTCTTTATTTCCTCCCCTACTGAACACTTCCTTAGGTTAAACGCTCATACTGTGTTGGAAGTGTTCAACAGAAGAGTTGCACACTTACTTACAAGTGCACACTGTGCACACCGACCGCATTGAACAATTTCGAGTGTACCGGTTGTAACTGTCAATACGCAGCAGTGTTGCGGGATTGCATACCCAATATGGCTGCAGGGGCCATGGCCCTTTACGGGTGTAAAGAGAAGGCAAACCTGCAACACTGCCGCGTAACGCCGTAACTCCCGTTTTGAACAATCGGAAGTATTTAACCACCCAACAGCTCGTGCGCGGTTTTATCTACGAACAAGACGAACGATCGGGTAACTTTTTTTTTGTCCACCCGGGATAATCCAAAGGCAATCATTCATGCTAAATGTATTTCTTTTGTTTTTGTGCAAACTTTCGTGCTTACTTAAACGTTTCGTGTCGTGCAAATTTGTGCGCAAAAGTGTCTAAGTCGTATCGCACAAAAATGTTCAATTCAACGAAAAAAAAAATCGATTGCGTAAATTTGTGCTAAAGAGACGAATCCAGTCAGTGTGTTGAATTATCCCTGGCGCAATCCACGAGTTATCCATGGAAATTCAGGATTAATCCGACGGTAATCCTGGGGAATCTGGCCGTAATCCGGGGTAATCCGTTGTATACACGCGAGATCTCAGAGCTATTTTCTCTTCGCGTGTGACCTCTGTGTTGGACGTGCTGCAACCAATAAAGTTTAGGCGAGCCTGGCCAAGTAGTTTGGAAAATTGGGATGCTAATGCCTGACACGAATCCGTTCTGCTACGATTTGGGGACGGTTTTTCCGAAAAGCATAAAGCACGCTACTACGTTCTCCACGGACTCCTTAAACAGATGTAAGGTGATTCTCCACGTGCCGTAGAATAATACAGGTATCTTTTTTAGAGAAAATTCAGATGAAATGTTTTTGGTTTCGTAGTATCCCTGAAATAAAAAAAAAATATCTCGTTAAAACACTTTGTAGTCGCACAAAATGTCTACGGTTTTAGGTGTGTGCAGTAATGAATTATTGAATCACGTCAGCTTGTAATTCACTGGTAATCGTGTCATCAAACGTATGTCAAAAAAAAAAAAAAAAAAAATCGAGTCGATTGAATTTCGGTCTATTTTCAGTATATATAGTTTTCGTGTAAAAATACCTTTAAATAAAAAAGTTGATTTTTTTGGACATACGTTCATTGACACGATTACCAGTGAATCGACGAGTGAAATTGATTACGTGGCTTCATGCTCGAGCACCAAACATCTGAAATATTTAACTGTTATTTGCGCACTATCTTGCACACTTGCGCGTATTTGACCAGCAATTATTTGAACAAAGTTAATAGTCGGCATTGCCGTGTGTTTCTGCCATCGTTTACTCACTGGTGGGAAGGGGCAGTTTCTATTCGGGTCGTCAAATGTGGCAATCATTAATCTACGCCACAAATCAGGGTCATGGGTGAAAATAACTTTGCAGAAGGAACCCAGCCTCATCACATATGCGTTCTCTTTCCATCCGCCGCGAGAACTCCACGAGGCCCAGTTCAAGTCGACCTGCAGAACGACACGAGTTTTAGTCAAGAGTACCGGGTGTGACTGTGAATACGAATAGCAGTGTTGCGGGATTGCATACTCAATATAGCTGCAGTGGGGCCATGGCCCCCTTACGGGTGTAAGGAATATAGGCAGACCCGCAACACTGCTGCGTATTCACAGTTATTGCACCCGGTACGATCCCTGGCAACTTTGTGCAGGCGACACGCGGTGTGTAAGGTCCCGAGGAAGAGAAACTAAAAATATCGCAAACTGTGAAATAGTAAGTAAAGTGCTCGGTATTGGTTTGGGGGATATCTTCCACCAAACGGGGCTCGTTTAAGTGGAGAATCAAATTCCTTACATTATACGAGTCGTCGAAAGTTAACAGGGTCGTGAAGTTGACCCAGTAGTACCAAAGGTCCCGATTGTTGCGGTCATGATACCCGCGCCAGAAGATGTCCTTGTAAAGAGGACCGAAGCCGCCAGTTCTGACCGGACAGCGTTCGATGTGGTCGGGGATGATTCGGTAGGGGCCCTGAAACAAATGGTACTCTTCATTTGATTAGGTGCATTTTAGTCTGAGAACCCACCATTTCCTGGGTATTTCAGTGCAGAGCGGTGTCTAAATGCACGACCGTCTCACACTCCAGTTGACTCACTGCGACGCTATTGATGAAATGAGACGCTGCCTCTGCGTTGCTCGACGTCCGGTACCCGACCAGCAGCAGCAGCAGCAGCAGCAGCGCAGTGAAGCAGCCGAGGGGCATGGTTAACGCCGCCGGCTCAATGTGCGAGTGAACGCAGCGCCGTCGGGCGCACCGACTCTGGCGCGTCACATCCAGATTGGCGACGGCCTTTGTTTATCCATCACTGTGAAAAATAACTACCGTCGTAAATTTACAAACATTGTGTAAACTTGAATTATAATTGAAGTTGTAAATATACGAGAGCACATTTTTTTTACTCCCCAGGATTTTAAGTCGATACGTTGTGCGTGTAATTTTACGATTACAAATTGTAATTTTACAACTTTGCGTCAAGGAAAATTTTTCTGTAAACCTTCCTACTATTTTTCACAGTGTTGGTTCATCCCCTGCGACCATCCCCCCTGATGGCGTCGGTTGGTCCAAGTTTGTCTCTGTAACGGTCGTATCTCTGGTGATCGGATATATACATTTGTCGTGGGCGTCCGAAACGCGACTCGACCACAAAAGTGTGCAACAGAAATGCGATTAAAACGCGACACACGAACATGTGGCCGCTTTTGGTCGAGTTTACTTGCGACGCGTCGACTAGACGCGGTTATGTCTAGTGTTTCGGTCGAGATCGCGACGTCGAGTAGTAATTTTATGTACAGTAGGGGAGACCGGGGTCCCATGAGCCATGGGGTCCCATGAGCCATTTGCTATATCTCGAAAACTACACTGATAAAGTAAGAGTTCAACTGCTCAACACTTGTAAGTGTGCAACTGCAAGTTAAATACTGCAAGTGTGCTACTCCGTAGTCGTACACTTGCAAGTGTTAAACTCGGTAGATGTGCACTTGGAAGTGTGCAACTCCTCGGTTGCACACTGCCTTAGATTGGGCGCTTACTGAGTAGGAAGTAGTCAACACAGGAGTTGCACACTTGGAAGTGCACACATACCGAGTTGCACACTTGAAAGTATTTAACTTCCAGTTGCTCACTTCCAAGTATTTAACTTCCAGTTGCACACTTGCAAGTGTTGAGCAGTTGAACACTTAGTTTATCAGTGTATAGGTGGCAGGACCGCGCCAAAGAAAAAGTGATGGCTATCCCTTAAGACATGTTGTAGGTAGCCAGAGGGTGGTAGGCTGACGTCCCTGGGGTTCAAATACCGCTCCCGCTTTTTTTGCGCGGTCACACATGGATGTTCATTGTTGCAGTATTGCCTCCATAAATGGTTCAAAATCCCCCCAACGCATCTTTTACGTGCCTAGTGACCACGCCAAAACAAAAACAAAAACAAAGCAAAAAAGGGGGGTGGTGGTATTTGAACTCCTAGGGACTTCCTGAGGCCGTGTCGCAGCGATGATACCGACTTCGCCACACCACGGTCGACAGGAGAGCCCATGTTACCGGTTTTCGTTCTCGCCTGACAACTGCGGCGACTCGCAGCGTGATTGCCTGTCCGCACATCTCTAGCATCGTGGCGTCGTAGCCGTGCCGGTAGAGCGCCGGCTTCCTGAGCCCCAGGAGCGAGGTTCGAATCTTCGCTGAGCTGAAAATTTTTCCGAGGTTCAGAATTCTGAGTGGAATTTAAACCCGTGATTCCAACCGAGCTCTTTCGTGGGAAGGCCTAAGGTGTAGTAGTTATGATATCCGCTACGCGGGGTGACGAGTGTCGGCACTCGGTTCGGTCCTCACTGGCAGCGAAAAAGCGGGTTGCCAGGAGGTCGGATCATGCGGCGAGCGGTGGTCGCTCGTCGGTATATAAGACCTGTGA